AAAATAAAGTTAGTTTCTTTTGACAAGTGGCTCCTGAATTGTGCCCAGCCAGACTGCGGCAGCAGGTAGACAGGCTGGCCAAGGAACCCCATTGTCAAGGGGCTGGATCCTCCATGTTCCCGGTGTCATATGTCATGAGAAGTGAACACTAAACGTAAGCCCCGCTTTGCTTTGCCCTGAATGGAAATTCACCATGGTCACCTCTCTTCTCGGCACTCATGGGGATGGTTCAAACAGTAATTTGTCTATAGACTGCAGGGTTGTAAGAGACCATTGCAAATATGACTGGAAAATGTGTGTGCCCCTAAGTGCTGGGATAAGCGCTTCAGGGAGTTGTTGGCACCATGCTTGGCTAAGACACAGTCGGTGGGACCAAGGTGGGCGTCCTGGGAGCTGAGACCAGCGGTGCTGGGTGTGCCGTGCGACCACCAGTCATCCCCGCCCCTGGCAATGCGCTTCCCCTTCTCCCAGGAGGCTGCTCCTGACRCTCAACCACTGTCACTTGGTGCCAGGGGATCTGCCAGCCAGAAGAGCCCACCTGAAGTGTTCTGGCCACTCAGGGGACCCCACTGCCCTGACCACAGTGCAGTTTCCAAAAAGCCATGAAACCCAAGCATGGCCAACGAGAATCTTTGTGTTGGACTGTTCTGTTCAGAGAACCAGCACAGAAGACACTTTGTTTCTCAACAGAACGTGAACGTGAGTCCCAAGTGGCCTTTCGCCTCGTTTCCTGTCTGCCCAAAGAYCAATCAGTTGAAAACAATGAAAATAAGAGACAAGAAAATAGGTGAGAAAGGAGAGAATCACAGAGTGTTGACCCCTTGTCCAGTCCAGTGCTCAGGGCCGAAGGACAGACTGAAGGYCTGTGTTCTGATTTCCATGCTTATGTTAGAAATCAAGCTAATAAACTGTTAAACAGATCGTGCTCTACTTTAACAAGCACACCTTCGTTAAAACCTAAAAAGCCAGGTTCCCTGTTCCCAGACTGCTGGGCGTTCCACTCCAGAACATGGCCCTGTGGGGATGGTCAGTAGGTCTGTCCACTYCTCACTGCTTCCCTACCCACACTAGAAGTGGACATGGGCTTACATGCCTCAGGTCTATCTGCACCCCCTGTCCCCACGAACAGTGACCTCTTGGCCACTCTTCAATCATATGAACCAGGAGTCCCTGTGTGGGACTTTGGGTCACTTTTAGAAAGTGAAATTTGGTCGGGGAATTCCAAATCTCAAGTGCCTGAGTGTGGTCTAGAAATGGGGGCACAGGCTTCCTGAGGGCACCGGCATGATCCACCCAGGGGAGAGCACAGTCAGAGGGCACAGGAGGAACGCAGGGTAGGGTGCAGGCCTTATCTGGCTTCAGGGTGTGACTGCATGTTTGTGACCTCACAAAAGTCRCATGTTGAAACCCTACTCCCAGTGGGGTGGTCAGAGGTGGGGCTTTGGAAAGTCACTAGGTTTAGATGAGGCCCTGAGAGTGGAGCCCCTTGATGGGATTAGTGTCCTTATCAGAAGGAAACAAGACTAGGGCTCACTTTCTCCACCCCAGGAGGCTGCAGAAGTGGACAGCCGGCCCAGGAAGAAGAGCTTCACCGTCGGGCCCTCCAGCCTGCAGAGCTGGGAGATGCAGATGTCTGCTGTGTCTATGCTGCATCTTGGTAGAGCAGCCAACCAGACCAGGACCCAGCGTGGGCTTTGTGCCAGTGTCCAGGATCCCTGGTCCCCTCTGACTCCAGCAGACCTTCTGGGCTGTGAGCTGCCCTTCCCATAAACCCTCTCTGTGATCTTTATCTAGTTGGGTGAGTTTCTGCCACCTGCAGCTGAAAGAATCCTTATCCCTTCAGGGTCCTGCAAGTGGTCAGTAGCTGTGGCTTTCATTGTTTCAAAGCACTTATTCTTACCGTAATTTGCTAAATCAACGTTCTCCCTCCAACATTGTATTGAACTGGTCTCATGAGAGTCACTAATYCAGTGGCCTGGCTCTCATTCCCAGTTGGCTGGTCTGCTCCGTAGCATTTGGATGCATTAAACATTCCCCCTTTTGGAAACCTTTCTTTTCTTAACTCTGGAATATTCAAGGAAAAGTTTGACCCTCCTCTATTTCTCAAACAGCTCCTTTGACTTCTGTGACCCTCTGCCCAATTATAGACATTCTTCAGAGTTCAACCTGGCTCTCGGGGCTGAAGCTACTCCCAACATCCACTAATTGGGATTGATAATTTGAGTCACATGGCGCTCTCTCATCTTGAAGAACCCATTCACTTTTGTACCTCCAAGTGTCACATCCTTAAAAAATGAGTCTCAAACTTCTATCTCCATCCTTGGTCTTGGTACCAAGACCTATTTCCATGTCTGCGTTGACAGTGTTGACAGAGTACTTACATTTGGAGTGTTCCCCGACACTGGGTCTCCCCTGGTTTTGCTGGGCCCTGCCGGAGTTACCAGTGACTCCTTCCCTAGTCACCAGCTCTCAGACCAGTGCTGTCTGTGCTCCTGCTGCCCCACAAGCCCTCTTCATTCTTTCCTTGCAAGGTGTTTCCTCTTCGTTTGTTTTCGGGCCCCTGCGGCAATCTCTGCCTGCCCTGTTCCCAGGTCCTATTCTGGTCCACTTTCATTTTTTTATAGGAATCACCCAACCCTGATAAATTGCTGAATCTTTGCATGGCTTTTTTTTTTTTTTTCCTACTTAAAAACCTTCCTTGGATGTCTGTGGCCTGAGGAAATCCCTTGTCTGGTGACGAAGGCTCTGCCTCCRTCTTCAGTGTTTTCTCCTGTTCTGCTTTAAAACAGGCTCTCCGTCCTGTCCAGGCCCATCTCGCCCTAGATCCAAACTCTTCCTTCCTGTGTCCCTGCCCTGATTCCCTCTTCTCCACTCCCCAGAACCCCTCTCCTCCCCCCAAGTTCTTAACAAGGGATCTCAAGCCCCAGATCCCCGARGAAACCTTTCTTCCTCTCAGTTCACCATGTTTTCTTTCCTCATCTTCTGGAAACTTCTGTTGGCTCTATTTGTTTGACACTGGCCTTATGCAGTTGTATAAACTTGTCTTTGCTAGAGCTACCTTTAAATTAGATTTTAATTGTTTTGAAAAACAGAACTGTGCCACACATGAGATCCTCTGTTCTCCCCTGGACCTCAAAGCCTGGGCTAGGTACAAAGAGTGCTTTAAAGCATTTTCTTGTGCTATTTCTTTGTTCTAAATTAAAAGGCTGTGCTCTATACAAAGTATTTTTGTCACATAGAATCAAGTAGTGTGGGTGCTGAACACCTTGGTAAAAGCTTGCTGGACTCTCACAAAAGGTTTGCTCCACACCTACCCAGTTCCTCCCACYGTTGTCTTTGTCTTTGAAGAATAACACATGATTTCCCCCTTTTATAGGAAATAATACCATACTCTGATAAAAGTTCTCTTGTTTATCAGCACTTCTTACCTTCTTACCTCTTCTGAATGTGATTTTAGATCTTTAGCAGATAGGTATTTTTGAAGTTCAGAAAGAAAAGAATCAGTAGCCTCTAATGTACATAACAAGACACTGAAATATCCTTCTTTCATTTTATTGAAAAGGAAACATTTCTATTCTAGCGCAAACAATGTATATTTTACATCATAAAGCAAGATATAATTTACATATTACATTTCTTAAGAGATCTTTATACCATTATGTCATTCCCTTTTTTATTAGGTCACTTCTTCTGATTTAATTTAACCTGCCGACTACCCTCCACATCAGCATCCTGTTTGGAAGGGGGGGTGGGGCAACAGCTCATGGTGCTCATCTCTGTCTGGGCATGACCAGGCCTTGAGGTCCAGCCCTGAGACCTTCTTCTGAAAACTGGTTTAACAGCCAGAAGCTACTTCTCCAAATCACATAGCAAACTTGTGTTTTCAAAAAAAATCAATAGTAAATCGAGTGCTAGTACTAGAAGGTTTACTTCTTGATCAAGTGCTCAAATAATGGATGCTTGTAGTGTTGGTCTACTACCAATGGACAGTCCCATGCCTGACAGGCACCAATCACTTCCAATTCCCAGAAATGGCTTGTCTAAGGTGTCGGACAGAACCTCCCAGTTTCCCCCACCATTTGGGTTTATGGGGCCAGGATTTACTGTAGACCACTGGAAATGTATGTCAGGATGAAGGTTTCAAAAGATTTTGTTTTACATAACTGTCTTTTCTAAGGGTCTCCCCTTTCCATGCATGACTTCTGTTCTTTACCTATAACCTAAATCTTCCTTTAGCTATTCTCTCCAAACTCCGGACCCCTCAAATTCATCAATTTTTTGGATTGCACTCACTTCACAAATCAAATAATGTTTCCATCTGTAAGGTCATACTATTCCTTTGAAACTCAGTAATCCACAGAAATGCATGGGACAGAAGAATGAGTCAAGAGATTCCTCAGAAGCAAGTAATGTGAATTATCCAGCCAACCTACGTGAACCATTCCCTAAGAAATGTTTTCATAGTGGGTTAAAGGGAGAGGGTACCAGTTTGTGAAAGCAAAATACCTAAGATGGGCTTTCTTCTTATTATTGGAAGAAGTACAGAATGGACATTTGAAATACATTTTGAGATGAGTGGCTGTTAGTCTGGGAAAAAATATCACCATTAGCTCAATCTGATATGCCAAGGGAAATACAAATGTTTGCTAAAAGTGCATCTTACACCCAAAGTTCTTGCCTGTCACTTATAATGCACAGTTGGCATATTTGGCCAAAATCAATCTAAAGATTTCTAATCACAGGTAACTAAATGTATTAGAATCAAGCTGGCCAGGATAAGACTATAAGTTAATATATGTCTATTTTGCATGTCTTAAATTATTCTTTGGTCAAATGGTGTGATTTCTCAGACATCTAAAAATATAAACCTGTTTCTTGCTTCCAAATACAAAGCTTTACGTATGTAYCGCAAGGGAGCATCTCCTTGCTAGACAATAAGGCTTCTTGGTATGGCACCACTCCATGAACACTGTACACTTCTATAGTCCTCTTCCTCCCRAGGCTAGAGTGCTAGACATGCAGAGAACACAGAAATCTTTAAAGGAGCACAGGAATAGAGCCTCACAACACCCCTGTGAGGTAGGGAGGTATTGCTAAACCCATTTTATAAACAGGCAAACTGAGGCACGGCATGGCAATAAGGTTGGGTCAAGTCCACTGGGCAAGTTAAAAAAGCAAGGCTGGAAACAGAGAGAAAGAAATAGGGAAATATCAATCTTGGCTCCTAACCCTAGATGCTAAACTTTACTTCAAAACACTAAGGAAAAAAAAAATAGTCCACAATTGCCTTTAAAGTTTTTGGAATTTAGTCAAACCTTTAAATATTCTACTTAAAACATGTGTCCTGTCTTTCATATTGCTGTTGAGTGGAGAAAGCAGATGACTATCTTTTCCTCCTCTAAGTATAATTCCCATGATAGAATATATCAGCATTCCACCAGAGCCCCAGCTCCAAATTCAAGGACATCTTTGTTCTCTCAAATAATTTGTAATTCATTTAAAGCCCTAATGCAAAAACGACACTGTTCTCAAACAACTGCCCTGCCTATTGCTGCGTGGCCTTAATGAGAATTCTGTGTAGAATATAAGAAGCAAGATCCCTTACTAATGTCTCATCACTGCAGAGACCAGGACAGTGGTGATGGTGTGRAATTTGCTTCCTGTAGAGTTTGAAAAACTACAGACTCAAGCTTGCAATATTTTATATATATAGATATATATATGTACAGTATATATATATAAGTGCACATCTGACTACCCTTAAGGCACCAAAGAGAAGAAGTAGGCCATGTCTTTCACAATTCCGTCTTTGTTTTCCTAGAGAAATTTCTCTCCCTCTCAGTGAACATATTTCCTCTACCAAACAGCCTGTGACAACAAATAACTTTGACTCAAGATGACTGATTGTTTAAATGGGGCAGGGTGGTGTTGCTGGTGATATTATAGTGCATAGCTTAGAGCTCAGACCTAGAGCTGAGAGCTTAGAGTGAGCCAGCTACAGCCAGCCACAGCCAGCCACAGCCAGCCACAGCCAGCCACGCTGATCAGACAGACCAGTGACCAAACTTGTACACAATTTTTGTTTTCCAGCAGCTGGCGGAAGAAAATCTTACCATAACCGACAGACACAGAGAGAGTGAAAAGGGAATCATGGGAGGCACAGATCTTCAGAAAGACTTTGGCTTTGCAAAAGCTCCTGGAGAGAAGTGGGAGGAGCTCAGAGTAAGGCACTGAGGTTCTCACAGGTTGGTGACAAGGCCTGGGGCATCTCTCTGAGCCTGTGTGTATGTGGCTTTGTGGCTGCCGCAGACCTTTTCAAAACCTCTCAGGATTATGGGAGTGGGTGGGCTGACCCTAACCAAAGAAGCTTGGAGTATATTAATCAAAGCATGAATAGAAAGAAAAATAAAATAAACACACAGAAACAAATGGTGGTGGAATTCCAGAGGGAGGAGGAACATTTGTTAACTAATTTTCATTTTGCTCCTCTCCTGCTTTTCTCTGCCATGGTCCCAATATGTTAGTTCTGTTTGTTGGATTGTTTTTACTTTTTTTTTTTTCCCAGCGGATGAAGAAATGACAGAGCAGGATAGGTGTCTTATGGTTTTTGATTTCTTCTTAGGCCTGTTTAAATTTTTTTTCCTCAGTTGACTGTTGGCACTTGGTTCCTCTGTAAACTATATTCCTTGGCCTTCAGTCTCAGGTTGGCAATGCTGTTGGCCATGTTGATGCCCTGAGCAGGGCTATTGTTGGCACATGTGGCAGAATAAGTAGCCATGGCGCTGTGGGGACAAAGGAGAAAGCAGGGAGAATAACAGGCATTAGTTTCATGAAGCTGCAAGTCCAGGCCCCGGGTGGGTGCACTCTCAGGACGGGGCCAGGCAGGGCAGGGCCAGGCAGGGCAGGGGTTGGACTAGGTGACCGCTAGGTCTCTCCCAGCTGGAGCTTTCCATGAGTCTAAGGCACTTGGAGAGGTGGCTGTGTTTTTCAGGGCAGGAGAAAGCAGAGGAGAATGAGACCCGGGGAGGGAGGGGCACTTGCTGTGTTGGGTACAGTGAGTAATGATTTATTTCTGGGGTGACAGACGAGAGCTGCCCAAATTGAGCAGCAGGTGCTTTATCAGCTGACTAGTTAAAACAGCATTTAATCTCCCTGCCTCCATTCCCTAGCCCAGGGGACGGGTGACGCAGAAATGCAAGTTTGGGACAAAACGACTAAAGGAAATTTTGTTACTTCACTCTAAATAGGTAATTGATAAATACCATGAGAAGTAATGTGCTCAGAGAATCAGTTGCACCCCAATGGAACTTTCCAGTCCTTCTTGATTCCCTGGTTGATAATTCCAGCATTGTGAATCAAGAGGTGCCTATCGACTGGCCTCAATGTCCTGACCTCTCCCCAAAACTTCCTGTGGAGCACCCGCTGCCTTTTGGTTCAATTATTTTGGAAATGTCTAAATTTCCAAAATAAAGTATCAAAGGCTCCAGTTTCAGCACCCTTTACCTTAGAGATAACTGTTTCTCACTGTCAATATTGCCGACAAAAACTTGACGTTGTCATTGTCAAAGACTGTTCTTAGGACCAAGAACTGGGCATAAAATTGYCATTGGGGGATTTCTTTCTTTTAAAAAAATTACTTTATTTCTTTATATGTGGTGCTGAGAATYGAACCCAGTGCCTCACACACGCCAGGCAAGYGCGCTACCGCTGAGCTCAGCCCCAGCCCCAGCCCCTGTCCTGGTGGGTTTCTGATCACTGCATCCATGAATCTCTTAATGGTGTTGTAGAATTGTACTCAGATTGTTTCCTTTATACTGAATGGATAAAAGAAGACTAATTTTAACTAAATGAAAATGTTTCTAAGATAGCAAAATCCTTTTCAACTGCGGGGTGGACAGACAGACTTATAAATGGAATGACATGTGCTTTTCTGGGGCCTGCATTCCAGTGGAATCTGTCAGCCACACAGGAGCCTGTGGTTCTGGGATCAAGTGACAAGGTCAGAAAGAGAGAAAACTGAAGCTGCTCTACAAGAAGGACAGATCCCTGACACCTCTCCCRGACAGTCAGACTTATCGTAGCCTAGTTCAACTTGGTGACTAGCAATTAGCCCAGGAAAATTAAGATAAAGAAATATAGACGGTTCCGGATCACTCCCTCTCTCCAGAAATACAAATCTTTAGCTTGCCTCCCGGGTATAAAGCCTGTGAGCAAGTGTGTGTGTGTGTGTGTGTGTGTGTGTGTGTGTGTGTGTGTGACAGAGACTGTGTGTGTGTGTGTGTGTGTGACAGAGACTGTGTGTGAGTGCACAGCAGAAAGAAGACTCAGAAGGGTTACAGAGTCCTTCCTTCCTTCCTTCCTTCCTTCCTTCCTTCCTTTCTTCCTTTCTCTGGGGATTGAACCCAGGGGCACTAAATCACTGGGCCACATCCCAGCCCTTTTATTTTTCATTTTGAGACAGGTTCTTGCTAAGTTGCTGAGGCTGCCTTTGAACATGCGAACCTCCTGCCTCAGCCTCRGGAGCCGCTGGGATCACARGTGTGTGCCACCAGGCCTGCTGCCTTTCCTCATTTTGCCCGCTCATTCTTACCCAGTGCCCCTGCGTGATGCTCTCCCTGCTACTCCAAGGCAGGTCCTCCTATAGCACCCTACACTCCGCTTTCATCACTTCATTTAATTTTTWAAAAAATATTATTTTAGTTGAAGATGGACACAATATCTGTATTTATTTATTTTTATGTGGTGCTGAAGATCGAACCCAATGCCTCAGGTGTGCAAGGCAAGTGCTCTACCACTGAGGCACTGCCCCAGCCCCACTTAATTTAATTCTCCATCCTCTATCACTGTTCTCAGCTGTTAGCTCCATGAACCAGACACCACCTCTGCYGGTTCACAACTGGATCCTTTGGTAGAGCTGACACAGCCCCTGATACACACTTGGTGCTCAGTAAACTATTTAGTGAAGAGACGAGTGAGATGTATGCACATGGGCTACAATTCAACCGATTCCTGRTCACTGTCACTGGTTTCTGTCGTCCTGCTATAAGTGATGATTTCTTAAAAACTAATCTGGCCAATGTGCTTTCACTCTTTACAAGTCGTCCTTGCTGTAAACTTCGCTCTCCTAATGGAAAGAACGAAGTCAGAAGGACATGGCGAAAGGGGATGGTCACTGCATATTCTGGGATACACAAAAATATCTTCTCATAGTAAAACTAAACCAATATTCATACAGTTGAGACAGACTATCACTTCCCCACTCCCCACCAAAGGGCACGGGCAGAAGAGTCTCCAGTTAAGTGGGATTCATTAGGAGTGAAACAAATGACCAGAATAACCCATTAAGACAGGGAAAGGTTTTTCTTAACAATGCACCAAGAAATGCCATTTATTTTCAAAACTCATACACATATCATCATTTAGTTTCTAGACTGATTACATGTTTTCACTCAAGATTCTGCCAGAAATATGTGCAAATCCATAAAACCCATTGTCAAGGAATTTCTCGGATACACCAAAGACCGAAGAGATGAGTGGATTTGGGAAATGTACCTAAATCATGGATTATTATAAAATCAGCCAAATTAGCCTTTCCCAACCAGGAGTATGAGAGAATAAAGCACTAAAGATTATACACAGAAGGTGCCATTTTAAATACACAGGGAGAAGCTGGACTCACAGGGTATCTGCATCATTTGGAAAGTACTGAGGGTGGAACTGAACGGCCTCTGAGCACACATGGTAAAACTTCATGACAGAACATGGAGATGAGCTCTGGTGGTAAAGTGCAGACAGTCATGGAGGACTGTCCTTGGCCAAATTCTGGAGACGTGTTTTCCGTTCTTTGAGAGTCTAGACAAGCAAAGTCCTACTTAACAGCAATTCACCCTTTCTGTTTCTTGGCAGACAAAGCAAACTGCGACCTTGGGAGGTTATGGTAGTTTACTGGAGTTGTTGCCACTGTTTTYCAGAAATGTCTGCAGTAGCAGTGACTGAAGTTTTATCTACTCTGTGCCAGTTTTGTTCGTTACTTCATAGTCTACTACCTGTGTCATTAGGGATTCTAGTCTGGGACTTAAAAGGTAGCACATTTCTTAGAAATACTGAGTTTTTCTCTCTAATGCAGGCCAGACTATAAAATCCAAACTCAGAGGAATGTTGACCCACTTTTTTACTCACAAATGAATTAGTAGGGAATTAGGGTCATGTATTGCACAGGATGCTCCCAAGACTTTGTCTCTTGAATGATGCAGCCTGTGCTTCTGCAGTAGAGAACAGTGCCCTGCCCAGTGGTATGGTGGTGCCATCACAGGAACACCACAGTAGGGGTGAGTCTGTATAGGAATCCTCCCATTCGTGGGGTGTGAGAACAAAGCTGTTTATATTAATGAATGGGTTTTGTGATTCCCTCGAAGCTTCAGAAGGAATAACATTTCACTTGTAATTTTTAGAAAAATTATAAATGTCGAAGAAACCAATCTGACTTATTCCAGCATTGTGTGGCTGAGAGATGTAGGATAAAAGAAGAGAGGTCACCTTCATCCCAGCCTCTTAACTGATGTTTAGAATGCATCCTCCTTCAAATAGAGACCGCAATGTTATTTTGCACACATATTGAGGAATTGCCTCTCTTCCCTCCAGTAGTTCCACTGGGTCTAGGCTTACAATTCCATGTGTGCTTTACAGCAGGCAGTGGGTGGCTCTTCGACATACCAGTGATGGACACAACTTGTCACAGGTCAGACAAGACGGATTGCTGAGTGGGTGTTCATGGAGCAGCCTAGACTCGCGTTAAGCATGGGCAGTGGCCAAGGGAGAGGATGTGCTTCCTAAAGGGAGAGCAGATGCAAGAGAGCCTTGCATGGCTGCCAATCTGAGACACTGTTGGTGACCACCTGTCCTATGTCATGGAAACTCCTAAGGCTCTGCTTCAGGAGAAGAAAGAGAACACTGAAACATCATCTTGCAAGAGAGAGAGCTGTCAGGGCAATTAGCTGCTTTCAACCAATTTATGAGGCCATTCAGACTATGTGAAATGACCATTCCTTCCTATCCAAACTCTTGGGGTCAACAGGTAAGACTGAAACTGATGTCCATCGTAGGTTAAGCATAAGACAACAGAGAGCCAGCTCCTACCAGTGGGGCTTACCTTCTGAGTAAGCAGAGTGCAATACAAGCTGATTCCTGGCCCTGACTTTATAGGGTTTAGCTAAAGCCCATTTCTACTAAGTTCTAGTAAAGGTCTCTGTGTTTGTGACCAAGAAAGGACTTCACTGGAATAACGTGCATGGAAACCCTGGAGATGGAAAAGAAGGGCTGATTCCCGTCTGTTGACTCAATAGGGGGTGCTGGGACTTCCACAGAGCTGACACGTTGAAGTGGGCTTGGAATGTTTCCATCTCCTTATTTGGAGATTTCTAGCAGATGTGGCCCAGCTACAGGCAGCACAATGCCAGCCCCGCCCTCAGGGTTGAAGGATGGTTTTCACTGGGGACGGATCATTCATGATCCATCCAACCGCTCCGAAAGGCTGTAGTGAGGGAAAAAGTGCTGAAGTAACTGCCAGACACCCAGGAGGCCCCCAGCAGCCCACTCATGGCACCATCTCAAAGCCAGGAGACATCAGGGACATCTCTGCTTTCTTGCCACCCGTAGTGTAAACCCTAAAAATCACAAAACAGTTGAGGATGGCTTGGAAAATAATAGCACTTGACTATGTTTTCAACTTTAACGTGGCCTTCTGGCTGAACAAAGAACAAACGATGACAAGCTGTTTAAATTTTCACTCCAAAGACAAATCTGTCAGCCTAAGAAGTCTGTGGGTCTTCCTGGGAATCTAGGTTTCCTCTGCGGGGACTTAGCTTTTCAAAGGCTGCAGAGCCTTCAGCTCCCCAGGCTCTGTGGTTTAGAGGGCAGAGGGTGCCTCTTTGGTGCGTTCTTTGCGGTRCAAGAACAGTGGAGGCTCCTTCTAAGAAAATTCAATACTGTTTTCCTAGGGAAACTTACTATTGAAATGACAGCCCGTACAGCCTGTTGGAAATGTTCTTATGAGAACTTAACAATCACTTGCAACTTCTGTTTTTRAAATTCAGAGGTTGCTTTTTGGTGTATACTTAGCTCTTACAAGTGGACATGCCTGGACCACATTTCATCAGCCAGTCTGCAGGGTGTACTACATGTTTAGTCATATTTCTGCAAGCTTTACCTTTTCTTCCAGAAATGTCTGMTACACAAATATGCAAATATTGGCATGCGGATGCTTTGCATCTTTCTATTGTACAGATTTTTCGATATTTCTTTTTCGTATGCAATAGGGAAACTAGTGGATCAGTTTTGATACAAGCTTACATGAGAAGTCAATGATCTGCTAGGAGCCAGGATGAGAACTTAGTTCTTCTGACTGCTGGGGCACACCCTACAGTCAGTCACCTGATGCCTCACTCTGCAAGGCGCGTCCTGTGTATGGAAGGCACTTCCATCATCTTGGAGTGGAACAACTTGCAGATGCAGAATCTCAGGCCCACCCTAGGCTTAGTGGACCCCAGTCTCCAGGCACAGGGTCCCAGGCAAGTCCCAGGCAGAGCCAGAGGTGAGGAGTGGTGCTCTCAACTCAGGCCACCCTTAGGTTTGAGGACAGGTTCTCCGGTAGCTCTGATGCTCACCACAGTCCCCGCTGTAGGACCTCACTGCTCACATCTCCAGGAGTTGAAGCCCCACTTTCTTCAACACACTTAGCTTCCCCTTCAGCCCTACCCCCAGCAGCCCCCCTCTTCCCCCTCTGACAAGTTACCTTTTCAGTGTCTTCCGTTAGAATCCGTTATGAAGCCCCTCGTGTAAACAACATCTTGGGAGGGACGAGGATCTATGTTTGAAAGTGTGAAAGCGAGAAATGAGCCAAGGCGTTCAGCAGATGTCAGGCCGCACCAGGACCACCACCAAGTGACGGGGATGAGGAAGGGGAGGGAGCTCTGCCCTGGCGCTTTCATCTAGCCCTCCCTCCGCAAGCAGCACTCTGGGCCAGGCTGCAGAGCCGGGCCAGCCCTCTGCTCTCACAGGCACTGAGGTCTCTGGGGAAGGGTGTCTTAGCTATTTCATCTCAAAACACATTCGGCAGTCCAAGAGCTGGCTGGKCACTGCTACCCAAGAGGCAGAGCGCTCTACCAGTGAGTCCTCGCAGCCGCAGGGCCTGGGCGTGGGGTTGTTCTCATAACTTGATTAAGGAAGACTGTCCTGAGCTAAGCAGTGGGTATGTGTTCCAGAAAGCTTCCTTCAGCTGACCCCAGGGAAATAAAGAAGACACCTGCCAGAAAGAAGCATCCATGTTTGGGAATGCTTRGCTCCCTCTGGTGACTCAAGCCCTGCCTGTCATCTCCTGTAAAACGCTCAAGGGAACGAACAAGTTCATGTCATGCCTTGGAGTAAACCATGTGTCTCAGTTTGCCACGGACAAGCCCAGTTTATGCCGGCCATCCTAAGGAAAKTATCAATACCAGTTCCCTTTCACTTTCAAAAGTGTCCCAGTTTGGATGACAAGGCATACAGCCACCAGTCTGACTGCAAATGACAGCCAGGAAAGACTCATTGGCTCCTCCCCAGTCCAGAGTTCTGAGCGTTAGATAGTAACTGTTCTGTGCCTTGGCTTCCTCCTTTCCTCTCAGGGAAGAGCCCTGGAAGTCAGCCAGCTGCTCTCTGGCAAAACTGTCAGCTCACAGTCCCCAGGTTGCAGGAGCAAGCCACAGGGCTTGTCCCATAGAGTGCCCATACACCCATCTGAGACAGACCTTGCCTCAAAACAACGGTTTCAACAGTTCTCCAATCCTAGACTTTTTGCTGCGTCCAATACAGTGCAGGTTCAATTTGAATGAGAATAGTCATGTGTCCTAAGGTGTGGGACAGAAACAGGGACCACAAGCACGGGTTCTCACTGTTTCCTGAAGACTTAAACTTGGGCAAGTGTTCAGCCTCCTCTTCTTTGGAACTGGAGCAAGGACAGAGTTATCACACAGGAGTGTCCCAAAGATTAACCAAGACAAATGCTTTTTAATGAATGTCACTAACTTGACATAAGGACCAAAAGAAATAGCGAGTGAATTTTCCATAACACAAAATGTCTATCGATTCCTCGGCTTTTCATCACTTGTTTTTCTTCTGTATTTCTTTAACAACAGTCATGTTTCCTAGCAAKATTTGAACTGTGAAATCATGACATGTTTGATTCTAAACAGCAAGAAGACCTCCAGGTAACAAAATGGGTTTTGCCACTTTTAAAAATTAAACAAACTATAAACACTTCAGACAACATTAGGGCAAAAAAAAAATCATATTAATTTACTGCATTAAACCATCACTTTTCTACCTAAATTTGGAGATTAATTTATTCTTCATACAGAATATGAACTATCAGGTTCTATAATACTGTTTCAATTTTTACAAACTCTTGTATCTAAGGGAGAAGTGATATAAAAGCACACGATGAAATGAGTAAGAAGTAGTAGGTTATATGATCTTAAGTGAAAAGAGCAGAATACAAAATAATATGTACACTAAGCCTACACTATATAAAATACTGAACTCTAATTGCAGAAATGAACAAACTAGCCATATCAAGATGATAGAAGTACAGTCTTTTGAAAACATCTCTAGATTTTCTTCATCATCTTTTTAGCTAAAATAGAATTTTTCCAAAAAAGGCACACATGACCTGCCACGTTAATAGCTTCAGTTTGATGATCATCTACAAAATGCTGGTGGTGTGGGCACTGAGGCTTGGCTTCTGCTGTGGCCTGTGTCTAACCCGACACTAGGTCTGGAGGACTTCGTCCCCACGAGCAGGGGTCTGCGCTCAGCTTCTCCCTGGCAAGGACCCTGAGGAGGACGCAGGCAGAAAGGAGAAGCAATGCTTCCCAGTTACCATCAGATTCACACCAAGATCTTGRGGCCTCGGGCTTTGAACTAGACCATCCACAGGCTACTTAGGGAGTCTGTGGACTACCAGTACACATAAAAGGAATATTAAAGAATGTGTGATGTCACAGTGGTCCTCAAATGTATTTTTAGTAAATCCTAAAGAAGAAGGGTCTACATTTTAAATAGGACACACAGATATAATTAATCTTTCAAAATCAGCAAGGCTGAGAGTAATGGGGTCCAAGAATAGGACTTCCTATACACGGGGTCTCCATGTACAAAGACCAGAATTAATTCAGGTTAATTTTACAACAAGGAATATAAAAGACATTCCCAAATGCACTTATGGTGTTTCTCTCAAGAACTGATTTGGTATAGAAAGAACATTTAGGTGAGGCTCTGGGCTTGAATTAGAGCTATAAATTTGGAAAGCATGTGCATTTCATGAATGTGGCTTTTCACTTCAGGGGCTAGGTTTCTGCCAGGACACACTCTGTTAGTCTAAAGCTTGTCCTTAAGCCCATAATGAACTTGACAATAAAAAGATTTTTTTAAAAAAAAGCACAATAAGTGAATTTGTGAATACTTCTTCCATTGAAATCAGCAGAAGAGAACATGCAGCCTTGACCTGGTTTCTTAGAACGCTCAGGTCTAGGTTCAAAGACAGGCACCCTGGACTGGCCAGAGGGTGCACACCTGAGTACAGTGTCTCAGTTTGCCTTCTGCCATCAGCAGTGTGTTCTGAACAGCACAATGAACTGAGGTTCAAAGTCTCAATGAGGTGGAAACAGCACTCTGCCACTTGCTTCTTCAAAAAATGTCACCTTTTTAATATAAAAGTTTAGTGTAAATTATACATTCTTTTTTATGCAAAACATACACACATGTGCACATGCACAAGTGTGCGTGCCCTCTCTCTCTCTACACACACACACAACTGACCCCCAAAGAAATCTCCAGATAAGTAGGTCAGAATTGGYGACAGAACAGGAAAGCATTTGGGATCCTAAGAAATTTCCACCTACTAACGGGTAAGGACTGAGTCTTGAAAGTGATGGGAATGAGCTTAGGCTCTCCTTTCCTGTGTCGGTGTCGCTGTCTCCTCCCTCCCTCCTTCCCATCTCTCTTCTTCCCTTCCTCCCTCCTTTCTTTCTTTTCTTTTAATTCAAGATCAATTTCACTATGAAGCCTTACATGTTAATTCCCTACTTGAGCATAATGAAATAACCTATCTGAAGTTTAGAAATGGGTAGTTCTGTTCCAGAACGGCTGCAAAAAGGGACAGTGAGCACGGCTTAATATTGGTCTTTTCTTTTAGATTCTTCCCCATCTTTGAAACCTTTGCAAGAGTTCCTGAGTCCAAGAGGAGACTGCTGATGGCCTGCCCCTCTCTCTTCTGCCCCAAACCCTGCTCCTGGGGCAACTAGTAATGTCCTGTGAAACTCTGGGGATGTCAGCAAGTTGAGTGTCTCTGAAGAGGGTAACCCAGTAAGAAATGTCAGCACACGCAGCTTTGAGCATGACGGATGGCTGAGGAGCGTGTGGAGGTGGAGCAAGGGAGGGCGGGTGAGTCATTCACCTGTATGGGGATGCTGTCCCCCAGGAGAGATAGTCGGTGGGTCTCGGAGCAGGACGAGGGACGATGGGCTGCTCCACGGCACTCACGTCTCCTGAGTAGGATTTGAGGAGGGAAGCATTTTTGTTGGCCAGCATGGCTCTCTCGTTCCTGCGGAACTTGGCTCTTCTGTTCTGAAACCACACCTGGAAGAGGGTTGGGAGGAGAGAAGGGCGAGGAGGGAGGAGGGAGAGGAGACAGAAGGAAGAGATCATGTGAATGCGTGGTGTGAAGCCTTCCCAGAGAAGATGCAGCATGGGTCTGGATTCCTCTCAGGAAAGAACATGCCCTAGTCCTCCCCTGGCGGGGCCTGCCTACGGCTCTCAAGGGTTAGGACTATGGGCTGGTGGGGCTGAGCAGCTCGTGGTAGAGTGCGGGCTTAGCATGCATGTAGCCCTGGGCTCTATCCCCAGCGAGCACGCACGCGCGCRCACACGCACACACACACACACACACACACACACACACACACGGAGTTCTTCCACTAATCTGGACTCCTGAGACAGGCTCTCTGACTGATACATCACACAGCAGAATGTGGGCATCATTCCTATCATAATTGTAATCAAGAAAAAGAGGAAAAATCTCATTAGACCTCCGCCACAGATACAATGACTTCACTAAAAACTTTTTCAAAATTCTTCAAAATGTGAAAATGTCATCTCCTTTCACATTACTAGGTGTTTAAAGAAAAGTATCTATTTCTCCAAACACTCTGACGAGGATTTAAGAAGCAAATGGTTTGTTTTCAAGGTGTCAGGAACTCCACTGGGGAAGTGAGAGGCAGGGGAGCAAGCACTGCAGAGAGCGTCGCCAGGCCCCTGTGGGGCTCGGCTGCAGGAGCGCTGGACTCYGGCCACCGTGGCGCACATTCTGTCATCCCCCTGCAAGGGCCAGGGAGCCGGGGACTTGTACCCTGGCTGTTGTCAATCATTAGTTACTAACATCCCAGCACTTCTGACACACCAAACACAGGCAAGGAGGTCTCTTGAGGTTCTGGAAGGAAATGCGGATGCTACACATCAGAAGCTGGCTGGACTACGTTTATCTGTAGGGTTTGAGGATTTGGGTGGCACCTATTACAGCATAATAAACTTGTGCATTAAGCACTGCCAGGACTGGGAACATGGAGGGGCACATTACATACATTACTTCTGGTCATCATGACAATTCCAAATAATGCTCTGTTATTTCTATTTTCAAGTTAAGGAAACAGGTTCAATGAGCTTAAGCTATTGAAGTTCACCCAAATAATAAATAGCTAAGGTCCCTTTTTTTCTGTTTTGTTGTGTTTGGGTGGGTGAGGGTGTTTGCTTTTGCTTGTTGTTTCTTGTTTGCAGTGAGGGATGGAACSCAGGGCCTTGCATATGTAAGACAGGTGCTCTCCCCCAGAGCTGCAGCCCCAGCCCAGTGGCTGAGTTAGGTCAAGGACATCCACCTCACGCTGCCCAGCCCTTCCAGGCAATGAACTGCACTTGCTCCTTCACTCGCTAGGGAGCCTTCGTGGAGTGCTGCTCTGGAAAGGGGCGAGCAAGGCGTGTTCTCTGCTCTCGAGCAGCTCACAGTCTACAGAGGAAGAGGAGTATGCATGGAAAACCACAAAATAAATAATCTAGGTGCAATTATAGAAACACTGGCGAGGCGTTGGGGAGGGATTCAGCATGTGGAGAGACAGCTGCACAGCTCTGGGCAACGTGCACCCCAAGCATCATGGGATTGTTGCCCCAGAGTCGGGTAACACAGGGGGCCAGAGTGGGAATCCACAAAGGTTTGAGCATCCCTTCTCTGACTTCCAGGACCTGGCTCTTCTGTTTCTTCTCTTCCTGTTGCTATTACAGTTATCAATTTAAAATTCAATATAACTGTATCCTTGCCCTGCTTGATAACATCCACTGGCCTCCTGTGACAGAATAAAATGACAACCTTGCCATAGACCAAAGCCTGTTGGGGAATTAGTTCTTGTCCACACAAAGCCACACCATCTAACTCCAGCATGGGTCCTCTATGGTTCCCGCAGCTTTCCACCCACCCGTCATGGCAGCAGACACCCCTCTGCCTGCAACATGCTTCTCCTTCCAGCTGCCAAAGCCCATATATTTTTTAAGACTCGACTTTAACATCTGAAGAGTTGTAGTGGAAGGAAGAAGACTTTTAAGGTCCAACAGAAATGAATAAAAATGCTGACTACACTATGTTCAAGATTGACCTTGGAGAGTTATTTAAGTTCTCTGCTCCTTGGCTTTAATGTTCCTACTTCCAGGATGATGAGAGTGGCCCAGAGAGGTGCTTAGTCGGTGTACATTCCCTCCCTTTCCCCATGGCCTCTGGTCCGTGGCTGACTCCTGTACACTCCTTTAGTGCAGGAGTCACCTTACAGCATCGAGACTATGATCGCACCTCGGGTCTTCTCAGCCCCAGACCAGAGCACCCTCAGRGAAAAAGCCAGCGTCTCATTCACCCCAAAAGCAGGTCCAAAGGTATAATTGGGGCCCAATAAGTGTTTCAGGGGAAAAAAAGGGAGGGAAAAGAAAAATGAAAACCAAAACCCACAAATTTTACAAAGATGACTAAAGCGTGACCTCCACTCAAGAGGACTCCACCGTCTAGTGGAAGAAGCAGGCCACAGACAGCTCAGCGTAACGCACATGATGTTATGATAAATGCCCTAAATATGAAGACGCCTGGAGTCAGGGCGGGCTCAGACAGGGAGAGGGCTGAACTCCAGGGAGTTAGAATGGTCCTGGAGGGATAGTTCTGTCCTCCCCTTAGGGAATGTTCACAGCCCTGAAAGTTACTAGGAAGTGGCAGGTGGGAAAGGAGGAAGAAAACATAGCTCCACCATATCTGTCCGTCTATCCACATTCACCTCATCCTCTGTTTGTTATATGAGTCAATAATATCTATAGATAATACGTAATGTGTATATTGCATGCATTGCCCATTGTGACAGGGATAAGATGATCTCCCAACCCAAACATGACTTCCACATTTTTTTTAACTCCCCCCATTGCATTATTCAGGTTTCCTTCTGTAAAATTCAGAACACCGTAGCAAAYGGGGGACTTGACGGCAGCTGTGGATTCCTGGCCTGAAGCTCTCCATGACTCCACTGCAGGCTGAGGTTGGGGCGCACGAGGGATGGAGAGGCAGGTGTTCGGGAAGGCGGAAGGGACTGCAGAGCACTGTGTGATGAGCAGCTAGGGAAAGAGGGGGCAGGAAAGGGGACATCACAGTTCATCACAGGACGGTGGGGTGGGCAGAGCTGGACYGAACCATGTCCCTGTGGTCACTCTCACTTGATCCCTGAGAACTGCCACCAGTAACTACTCACCTCACTCACACCTCCTCACTGTCCTCGGGAGCCTCATGGATTCTGTAAAACTTCCCCTTGGGGAGAAGCACTGGCCCTTCACTCCCTAGGGGAGCCTTCATGGAGTGCTGCTCTGGAAAGAGGTGAGCCAGGGGCACTTAACCACTGAGCCACATCCTTAACCACTTTTGTTTTCTTTTGAGACAGGGTCTTGCTCAGTTACTGAGGTTGGCTTTAAATTTGCGGCCCTCCGGCCTTAGCCTCCTGAGCCTCTAGGATTACAGGAGTGTGTCACCACGCCCAGGTGAACTTTCCTCTTTTGTCACTGACATTTTTTTCCTGTCTTTTAGGGAGCAGATCTTTTGAGGTGAGGTCCCTGTTCCCCCTTGGAAAAACTCTCACACTTTCTCTGAAGCTTCAGGGACCTCCAGGACCTCCAGTCAACTCAGCAAGCATCTGTTACCGGGTCTTGTGCCTTGTGACAGACACAGCACTGCCCCCGTCAAGACCCTGGAGGTGGCTCAAGTCCCCATCTGTCTAGAGGGTTATCCTTTACAGAAAGAAATCCCTGAAAGTCAGACTGAACAGGGATGTATAAACATCACTCCCTTCAGGAAGGCGAGAGACCTGACTCCCCTCCTGATCCAAACAGCAGCCTGCCCCTGGYCATGTGGAAGACAAGAAGCTCTGTCAGCAGAGATGGCAAAGCACCCCTTGAAAAGGCATTTAAGCAGGGGACTCATTGATTCACGTCTGTTGTATAAAAAAAAATAACCCTGGATCTCTGTATCTGCATCCAGATCCTCTTTCAGCCACCTCCTAGATATGAGACTTGACCTCTCTCTGCCTCCRTTTCCTCACCTGCAAGATAAAGAAGACTGCCCACATCATTGAACTAAGGTGGAGGTGAGGGATCAAAGAGCACTAAGCAGCAAGGACCCCGCAGTGTTGTACTGTCATCCTGCTGAAGAACACAGTCACAGCCAGATCGTCCTCTGGATGTCTGGCTGCAGTCAGTGTGTCCTGACAGGAATGCTGCTCAGAACTGCTCCTCCCTCTCACCCTGGCTACAYGTCCTTGTTGGGACACGGGGAAGAGTAAAAGTCACCTACTTGAATGTGTTCTTACTTCCTTGCCCTCCATTTCCCACTTCCAGGGCTGTGCACYACCCTGTGTACTCACAGCGAGTTCTGGAAGGTGTGCATATTCCCAAAGCCTGGGGAGGAGAGCTGAGCTGAGAAGAATTAACCTCTTTGGCCAAACTGATGCTCAAATTGTAAGCTGGGGTGCAGAGTCAAATGCTCAGATGGACAGGGTATGTAACGTGAATCTGGAAGGGTCAATAACACCAGGGAGGAGTGGACCTGGAGCAAATACCAAGCTGCCCCACCTAAACACAATCCATCTGGTTCTTAAAAATACCAAGCAAACAGGTAAAAGCGTGCATCTGTCTTTGTGCTGCCCACTTGCAACCTCAGTCGTACCAGCTCGGTCTGAAAGCTGCAACGTGGGTACTAAGCAGTCTGGACAGTTGTGCAGCTGCGGGGGTGCTCGCTGCCACCCACCCACAGCAGGCGTTACCTGCACTCTGGCCTCAGTGAGGTTCACACGGCGCGCAAGGTCTTCCCGCACGAAGGCATCCGGGTAGTGCGTCCGCTCAAACACACGCTCCAAGGCCTGCAGCTGGCTGCTGTTGAAGGTTGTCCTGTTTCTCCGCTGCTTTCTCTTCTTCTTCTCCTCTGAGTTCAGCTGATCATCTGGAACAGAGAAGTTGATGATAAGGATCCAAATTCACTTTATAGATCCCAGTTAGCACTTTGTCTTTTTTGATAGTTCTCTAGAGATTGCTTCATTCGCTCGCATCCTTATAAAAGTCCTATGTTCCTTGTGCAAATGTTGGCATTGGTGCTCCTAAGGTCATTTGCCCAGAGCTCCCAGTGGTTCCGATGCTTGATTTTTGCTTCTAAGCATGGACCAGACCTGAACCAACAGCTGGAGAGACTCTGCTTACATGTTCCTTAAAGCCTGTTCTTTCAAAAGCTAAAGGACAATCTCACTCTTGGCCATATTCTCTGGCTTCACCAGAGACGGAGGAATTTTTTGGACCATGTCTTAGACAATATTATGTTCATTGTTATAGTTTCATAACCAAGTAGAAAAAGTAGCTCCTGGTTCCTTCTCCAAAACATACAAACATGAACACAAACACAGAGTTGCAGAGAAGAAACTGTGTTCACACCAACTAAAGAGATTTCTGTTTCACTGCACTCTTCTTGAAACAGCAGATCAGTCCCAGGAGCATTCACCCACAGCTCGGTGCTTTGCCAGGCCTGCTTCCGGGGCTTGAGCCTCGATTGGGGACAGGGCCCCARCACCCTCAACCCAAGCCAGCATGAGCCTGGGACTCACCCTGTGAGAACCCAAGAATGAGGAACAAGGTCCCAAGATCTCTGAAACAGTTTCACTCACACTTGAGAGTCTTAGGGCCCTGGGAATTTAGGGACCTTTGGAKAATCCCAGCCCCAAGTGTTGCCCTGCCAGGATCCCGCCGTGCTGTGCTCTCGCTCTCCCAAAGGCCAGGCACACAGCCTGCGCATGGCCGTCAGAGAGCAGTGTGCCCCTCCCTGCCGCCCCACCAAGCCCTAGATAGATTGGGAAGCAGCGGAGCAGCATCCCACTGTGCTAACACCACCGTCCAGCCAACAGCGGAGCCCCAAGCAGCCACAGGGCCTGCACAGCCCCCAGAGACCCACAGCACCCACTGCCCAGGCCCAAAGCTCTTCTGAGGAACTGACCCTCTATTTCCATACCTCTCCCCTGAAAGGCTCAGCCCAAAGAAAATTGCAAGGAGTTTGAGTGAAGATGGGAAAGAAGAGAACCTGGCCACTTGTTCCAATTCAACAGAAAGTAGCTCTCGGCTATTTATTTTTAACGTGTATAGTCTCTTGACCTGTGATTGTAACCGCAGAACACTCTCAACAAAACTACCCGCACCAACCACAATGTCCAAAGAACAGTACAGCCGCCTCKCTCTAATTCTCTTGTTACAAAGAGAGCATGTTCTGGATTCGCATTTGGATCCAAAGTGCAGCTCAAGTCCAAGAGAGCCAGGCCTCCAAGGCCTTCTGTGCAGAGCTGTCTCTCCACGAGGGGAGCCTGGCGTTTCCTCAGTTAGTTAGAGCACCCCCATGCATAAACGGTGGTTGAATGTGTTTTCAGGGAAAACATGAAACTTCTCTTGTCCTTAGAAAACTGTCTTTGTACCAGAGTTTGTATGATCTCACCCAGATTCCTGCAGCATTCTCTGTGCTTCCTGGGTGTGCCCAGTTGGTCTCCTCTGGTTTTTCACACTTGAGGGACCTTCCCGAGAAGCCTGCCTCGATGGCACCTCTGCCACTCAGTGAGAATATCAGATCAGCCACATCTTGAGAATGAAGCCAATTTAATCCCAATTTCTGGAGTCTGTGCAGGCCTAGAGTACCCCAACCAACGTCACTGATTATCCCACTATTGAGCTAGTAGTAAAATTAGTTTATGGAAATATCAACCCTGGAATTCAGACACTGAGGATCAAACACCTTTTAGCTGTTGTCTTACATGTGTCTCCTCTTGCTTAGCTCCATGTTTGGAAGCATGTGTCTTTACATTTCCTTCTCATAGACCCTCTGTCCACAGTGCTATGTGGCTTGGACTTCAGGTCACCTTGGCTCTTCCAGGGCTCTGCAAGTACTGACACCTGCTCCCAATAAACAAGACTCTGCAAAACATCCTTGACTTCCATGTTTTTCCCACTGAGACTAACTATACCTAAGCTTTTATTTTTAATCACATAAAGGAATCATTTGTTAAGTCAATACCATGATTTCTTTTCTTCCCTCAAATAAAATTCTTTCTCAGGTAGAACCTTAAACCCTAAATCCTTTATGCTGCTTGCTAAGTCTTCCTAAGTTTCTTCTTGYGTTGCCAAACTACAATCAAGAGCAAGAATACTTTATGTTTTGTTCTCAGTGCTACAACCTGCTACGTAATCCCCCAGTAGTTTTTTGAAATCTTCCACTGTTCTTTCAAATTCCACTGACCGTCCACCATAAACCACCAACTCCCCTGACGTGGGAGTAAGGGAAACGGAGAATCACAGTTTATGACAGGGAATAAATAGCTATGATGACTTGAAACCAGGCCAGCAGAAGTTTCCCAGTGAACGTTCTTGTTGTTTTTAACAAATGAAAACATCAGACCAGATCATGTTGAAGGTGAGAAAAGACACGCAAATAACAGGGGTCCCTGGAGTCTGGATCTGGCAAATGTCCTTCTAAGTGGAAGTATAATAGGAAGAGACGACAGGCGGGCAACAGGGAGCGCTGCAGCGGCTGCCCTTCGCTCGCTCCTTGTCTCGCAGACCTGGTCGGATCCCGTCCTGAGCAGAGAACAGCATCTGCACCAGCCTGCGGGGAAACAGAAACTGCACAAGTTTACAAATACAGGGACCTGAAGGGCCTGGGTAGACACAGCTCTCGGGTTCCTGGCCCTGGCTGAGGATCAGGGAGTGGACAGTGTACTTTCGTCATGGCAGGAGGATCATCTTGTGAAAACAGCTACAGTGAGGGGTGACTTTGAAACACACTGTCCAGGGAGAGTGACTCTGATGGGACATTAGATGCATCTCATTCTTTGATGGTTGGGATGCACCAAGCCTCAGAGTAAATGTGTTTTTATCAAAATCATGATGTTTCAAATCCAAAGTACTTGCAGCTTTTATAATTTTATTGGTCTAAATTAATTGCAAATATGCAAGTATTGCCAGTCTTCTCCCTCCCTATCCCCTCGTATTGGGGACTGAATCCAGGGACCCTACCACTGAGTCACATCCCCAGCCCTTTTTTATTTTTTATTTTGAGACAGGGTCTCGCCAAGTTGCTTAGGGCCTCACCAAATCACCTCTATTCCACTCTTAAGAACAAATTACAATACCCATGTTGTGTAAGAGAGAAATAATGAAGCATCCAGAGTAAGATAGGAGCTGCCACCCAGGCAGAGCTTTCCATACTAATTATATCTAAGAAAGAAGATGAGCGTGTATCACGTCATTCCTACCACAACAGCCATTACACAGGCAAGGGCTAGGACAGCCATTTCAATCCAGGGTTCCTGCATTTTCCCCAAGGGCCTCCATGAGCATGTGCAGGGTCAGCCTAGCACGGGAGTGCACCCCCATCTCTACTCTCTCCCCATGAACACATTCGCACTTCTTCATTTTCAGATAAGGCCCAAAATCTGTTTCCTGAGACACATCTCAAACCTTACCTCCTCTGTAAGACTTTCTGGATAGCTCCAGTCCATATTGACCTCCCCCATCTCTGAATTCATATGATATGTATGTGTACACACATTTATATACCCACACATACATGATATTCATATATAGACTCACATACATTAGTATCTCATCAAAAACTTTTTAAAATCATTTTATGTAAATGTCCTGTCACCTTAATGCATCCAGGTATTCCTATCGAAAAGATATGGGGTCCCTTGACAAATCAAATGACAAAGTTGGAGATGTTAGAGTGGTATTCTGGTGTAGAATTAGCTCAAAGTATTAGAACCTGAGTAATTCATCCAAAATCTTAAAGGGTGAGTGATTTCTGAATTCTGATTATTCTTTTTAACAGTGCAAAGACAATAACTAGGCTGGTATTGTCTTTGTGTCTATATGACTTTAACTGCAGAGGGAAAATAAGCTTTCTGCAGTGTTCTTTCTTCAGATAGTTTGGGTATCAGACTTAGAGATGGGAAGCTTTGAGATCCTCTTCCTGTAGAGACGCAGGAATGAGACTTCACTTTTATCCCTTATGTGAAAAACAACCACAGAATAAATGAATCATTTAAGCAAAATGTTGGAGAGGACGGTGTTTCCTGTGGATCAGCAGGCACGTGAGGCTCTTCTCAAGGAAAGAAGCCCAAGGTAGAGTCCCCATGTGCCTTCAGATGGGACATGAAGGAACAGAGGCCCTAGCACCGCTCCAGCACAAGGCTAGCTCTGGACTCCTCCTGGGCTGCTGAGGTGGCCCAGGAGGAGGGCGGAGAAGGCACTAGTGATACCTGGTCACACTGTGGGGACCAGGCAGCATGTGGGAGCCCTATGCACTAAGGCCTCGCTCTCGGTGCAGGCTTCCATTCACCCCAGCAGTCCCCGCCTGCTTCTGCTGGGTCCTGTGGGAGGAACTCGGAGATCCCAAATCCGTGTTCACCCGAGCATAATTTAAAGGTACGGTAAGAATATATTTCAGAAATAAAATCAAATCAGAAAAAAAAAAATGTGTTTCCAACGCCTGAGTCACATCAATTTGGGAAGAAATCTGATGCAAGAAGATAAAACTCCAGCTTCAGTAGCAGAAACCAACCACCACATCAAAGCTCCTCATCCGCCTTTTGGTTGAAAACATGGCAGGCGAGCAGATCTACAGTGCGGCCCGCTGATCATTTTATGGGCATCGAAGAATGTTTCCAAAGGCACTTATATTGCACAACAGCTACTTACTTTAATGGGATTTGTGTGGTGCAGGCCCTGTAACCTTTGGAAAATTGAAAGGAAGTATAATTGCAAAAGCCACTAAAAACTGTTTAGCTTTTATTGCAAGGCCTAGGAAAAGCAGTGAAACGCGCCTGTGGCACTCATTGACGTTTCTTGGGCTGCACTGAGCTTCATCTGAGATGAGGACAGCTTCTTTTTAATATTCGCCCTGATAAATGGCTC